TTAAGTGTTATGTATGCAGATGTGTATATTGTAACGTTTGTAGTTGTTGAACCCTTTACATTTTTGCAGCAAATGGAGCATCCTCTGTAGCTGCCCACAGAAGTGCCAATGCAGCAACAGCACAGGCTGTGTAGTGATGGGGAGTCCCAGCCTCAGGGTACTGCCTCACTACAGGGCTGTTCTGATTATGCATATAGATGCCAGATGTGAGTACAGATTTATTGTCTTAATGTGTTGTAGATTACTTCATTTGTGGTGTTTTGGTTTAGGCCTCACCTCTTCACGTATTAATTTCCTGAAGACTTCTGTCAGGACCCACATGGGCAGGAACAGGCAGGTGCTGATATGCTTGTAGTGCTTGAAACTGCAGGAAAAGCCAGAGTGAAGTACTAAATCAGCTCAGTATAAATTGCTGTTGGAATTGTACAGATTTAGCATCTTTTTCTCAGTCTCTGAAGGAGCCTCAATCTCCTTTCCTTGTTTTCATACGCGTTCATTCTTTCAAATGCAGCATACAGTGTCTGACTGCACAAGTTCTGCAGCCTAACCAAACCTGACTCTAATCTCTCTTCAGCAAGCTGGCTGGGTTCCAGATGTCTCTCATGGCTTTGCTATAGGCTTTCTGTGTTGTGGCAATTACAGTTTTGATTTTCTTCTTGAAACCAGATCTTGGTTTGGCATGCATCAGTGATGCTGCACTGAACTCAAAATACTTTTTTTCTTTCTTTTTTTTTTTTTTTTTTTTTCTTCACTGATCTCTGCCAGCAAAAGTTACAGCTCTCTCAAGTATTTCTGCACTGTTAAGGCTATTCCAATATTATTATATTGAGATTATTCTTGCATGGATTTGAGAACAGCATTTTGCACTAGGCCCAGAACATCATCTGCTAGCAACTGTTTGGATTACCCTGTGGTCCTCGTGCCAAGCCCCTCTCAGGAGGGGAGGCAGTGCTGGGATAAGAACCCTGCATGCCAGCAGCTGCTCCTGAAATGACCTGTTTGAAATGCATGTTGATCTTTGAGCTTTGTATGATTTTTAAGATCCTGTATTTGAGAAGAACTGCCAGTAAATTTCATCTGGTTTTACCTTACCTTTTAATGCAGTGTGTTGACTTAAGTTTTGCTGACAGAAATGATAGCAAAGGACCTTGGTTTCCACTTGGTGTTCCTTGCACGGTCTAAAGGATCACACCAATCTCCCTCAGAATTCTAGTTAATGAAATGTCAGTCTGTACTGAAACTTCAGAAGGTTCCAAATGTCTTTTTTCAGTTGTCCAAATGAGTAGTAATTTGTAAACTGAGGTGAGCCTGCAAGCTGTGATATTGTTAGGGAAATAAAAGTAAAGCCAGCACTTTTCTTTACTTGACAGGAGTAATGGTGACACCCAGTGGCCTGTTTAATAGAGGAGTTGCTGAATTTCTTTGCGTTTATTTGAAATTGCCTCTAGATTTCTTATGCCACAGAGAAGGTCACAGGAGAAACACCTTCTCTATGCGTAGGAGGACTTCATCCATTTTTCATGTTTCTTACTAGACACTTCTGTAATTGGAACGTGTGTCTTCTGAGCACTTTAATTTGAAGATAAGGAGAGCATTCTCTGTTGCTGACTGCCAACAGAAAAATGTAGAAACTGAGACAAGGTTGGTTTGGTTTGACTTGGTGTAATGTGTGCTGCTGTATGTTTTCTTTCACACTGTTTTTCCTCTAATGTCAAAACTGTGTCCACTGAATTGCATCACTATTGGATTACTATCAGTGATGTCAAACTGCACTACATAAACAACTGGGCGTTGAATTCAAGATCATCTCTTTAAATTTTATTTGCATTGCTAACTTGCCTAATGAGTGTAAATAACACAATTATTCTGTCACTATTGACAGTTCATTTTCCAGTAACTTCTGGATGCACGGTGCTGTAGTTTTGCTGTGGTATCACATGAGGAAGAGGCATGTACTCCAGTTAGAAGGATTTTCATGAGGTTACCCACAGATGCTTTGTCATGTCACTCAGACTGAATCCTGTGGTCTGCAGACTGCAAGTGCTTAAAGCTTTGTGTGAGCTGAGGAGCTGACAAAACTACGTTTTTTATCTCACGAGAGGAACTGGTCTGCTTTAGTCTGGCCCCTACAACTTCCATAGCAGTGATGTTATGGGATAGGGCATAGATAGCTGGTGGGTTCTGCAACAGTAAATGTGAAGTCCCTCTGCTCAGCAAGAGTTCTTCCATTCATTCTGTAAAGCACCAGCTCTTTTTGCTGTATTAGGAAGGGTTCTGCTTTGGATTTGCTTTGGCATTTGGGTTGATTTGGTTTTAAGAATAGTCAGAGCTGAATCCTATATGTTCAAGTATGGTAGCAAATGCTCCCTAAAATGCAAATCAAAAGTGCTGGTATCACTTGATCATTTTCTTCTATCTCACCTAAGCTTACAAATGATATCTCTTAGAACTTTGGGATTTGTTGGCTCACTGTGTGCTCTATTTATACTTGCTTTCAGCTACACTGTTATCAGTATTTTTAATGGTGACTTCTGAAAAATGGTGAAGAGAAAGGAAGAAGGAGAAAGTAATCTGATTTCAGAAACATTCTTGGAAATGCAGGTCTTGCATTTCAATCACAAAGATATTTCATCATTTAAAGTTGTACTTTGCAGCAGTTCCTACCTGCTCTCTTAATCTCATGCTGCTGGAAGCTGTTATACTGATGTGATATTTGGCTTTAGATTTATAGAATGGGGACACCCTACAATAGCATAGTTTTGAGTTGAAGACACCCCTGAAATTTCTGCTTCTGTAAAATCTTCCATAAGGAGAACTCAGCCTAGAAGAATGTAGTTGTTCTACCTGCCTCCTGTGCTCTGTGTGCTCCAGAAAGGAGTGAATGAGGTAAGAATTGCTGTCTGAGCTCCTCTATTGAGCTCAGGGAGTTTTTTTGAGAGGGGAATTTTCCTTCAGGGACCAGAGGTGGACCTGCTGATCCAAATTTGCATGCTGGCTTGGAAGGGCTTAGCAGATCTTTGGGTTTTCTGGTTTTTCTTATTCTTTGTTCAAAGGCCATGTATCCCCTAGGAAAAAATGTTGCACGCCTTTGTACCATCATTGAATTTCTATTAAATGAAAGGCCAGGGAGGGACTAAAGATCTGCTTCACTGTATGATGACTTTTGATATTGCTTAAGCTTTATAGTAAGCACAAACTGTGAAGACCCTCCAGTCTTGTCCTGCAATTCAGGCAATAATGGCATCATAGCCAAGCATGTGGAACAAAACCAATCTCCAGCATAACATATTGGAGTTCATCGAAGGAGCAGGAGTTAAGGAGTTTTCCCTGCAGGGTCATAGCGATTCAATATAACCTTGAATCACACAACATTTTATAAGAGAAACATTTTATTAAATTCATATATAACTGTTTATCTGTTTCCCTTTATGCCTTTCTTTTCTGTGTATTGTACAATACTCTCTAGGGTATTTGCAGCTACAGAAGAAAAAGTGTTGAGTTTTTGTTCCATCTCTTCAGGGTTTTTGTTAATTTTACAGAACACCAGAGATAGCACTGCCATTGCACCTGGCTAAATATTTAAGAACAGAGAAGAATACATGAAGAAAGAATTAATTTTTAGACAATTCCCAAGACACCTCTGTGAGAATTTCACTGTCTTCCTTTAGTGAACAGGGCTTCTCTTTTAGTTGCCATTGTAAATATACTTCACAGTACATGGCTGGTATAGAACAGGAATAACAGAGGCAGTGTGGTTATCGGAGAGCACTAGAAGTCAGAGCTGCAAAAATTTCAGGTACCTTTGCATTAAAATACTTCTAACTACATAGGAAGTGGATACAAATTTTGGCAGTAATCTTGTAAAGATTAGTGTGTGTTTTCTTGATTATTATTTTTTTTCCCACCGTATACTGTCCTAGTGAAGGCAATGGGAATGTTTTTAGAGCCTTTCTTTATTTTACTATGGTAAGTTTGTGGGCCATAGATTACTCCATAGAAGTGGAGGAACACTTGCCACAGGTTGTCCAACTAAGAGTCTAGTTTTGCAGCATTAGCCAGAAAAAAGATCAGTCTACAAAGACAGTGGAAAGACATCCTATCAATTTGTATAAGTTAGCAGTAATGCTTGTATAAACGAATAGCATTTTTGTATATGAATTACTGTGACCTGTACAAGTTAATAGGATGCCAGATGAAGCCTTTTGTGAGTGCTTAATGCTACATGATTTGAAAAGATAAGGAAAATGAAGTTGTGGCTGATAATATCAAATCAAAATATATATTTTCCCACATAGGCTAGTATTTTGTATGAGTGCTTATTTTCAGTGTGTTATCTGTTATGGGAATGAAAATAGGCCGTCATTATTTGGAAACACTGTGAACTCAATTACAAAATCAAACCTACTGAATTATTGAAGAGTTAGCTGTTGAACTTCAGAGAAATGTCTAATCTGATCATAAACTGCATTTTATTTTACATCACATTCTCCAGACTGTTAGATTATCACTTTCTTTTGTTTTCAAACCTTTCAAAGCTTTTATCAATAAAATGAAACAAGTCACAAGAACACATGCCCAAGTAAAAAATACTGTTATATAAATATTTTTGTCTTGTCTCAAGTCCACTTGGTTATTCATCTGAAAAGGTCACAATACCTAAGACCACAAGTTGTTTCTTACGTTGTTCATGAATCATTTTTAGTCTACAACTACATTACATAATGCTATTTAGTTTACACACACGTGCGCACGCAGGATATTTGCACAACTAAACAAAAAGGGTTTTGAAAATGGATCTGTCCAGTTTTGCCTCACAAGGAATCAATGTCCTGTAATGACAAAGTCACTGCAAAAATGTCCATCAACTTCAAAGACAGTAATGTATATCAAGGTGGAGAGCCTTGCCAAACTGATACTACACAGGTGATATCAACCTGGTTTGGGTTTTTCTGTCTTTTTGTTTTTAAATAAAAAGGAAGAAAAAAAAAAAAAAGCAGGGGTGCAGATGCTTATATAAGCATGTAATAGCCTGATCAAGCCTACACAACTGGGGAGCACTGAAACGCTGTTAGCAAATTAGGTGCCAGCTTCACCAATATATTACTCCAGTTTTACAGCTGGTAATCTCCTGAGAGCAGCTAGAGTAGTGCAGTGGCAAATGAGCACCTCAGCCCATAAAAGCTTCTTGTCAATTGGTATATTAAAAGCTTGCATTTACCACTCAAAGTAAACATACAGACCTGTGCAACAGCAGCATGTCCTTCAGTACATGCATTTAATTTGGATTACAGACTGGAACAAGGCTATAGTCTGCCTATTCAGATAAGTAAGTGTTCATCTCAGTCAAAATCTTGCGGTCATGGTCCAGCCTCTCCCCACATTGGAACCTCCTGCTTCATTTGATGGATCTGCTTCTGTAGTTCATCTCTGTCAAGTTTCATTTTTGCCTCTAGAACTTGCCGTAGAGATCCAATGCTCTCATAGATAGCTGCAAACCCTAATTACAGATGAGAGATAAATTAGTTTGTAATCTAAAGCAGTAATAATATGGCATAGTTGATAACAGAATATTCTTCCTACCACAGTATTCAGTTTTCCACTAGGAAGAAGGCAAATGTTCTGAAGAAAAATAGGACTTTCATTATGCTGGCATACTAATGGCAAAATGCCCCTGATCACAGCAAACTGTGCCAATGTAGGTTTGGGGGAAGCAATTCTAAGCTGATGTCACCTCTTGCTGCTGTGAGTTTCACACTTAATGAAAATCCTCTTGAATGCCACAGATGCAGCCCAGTGTCTTTAAACTACTTTGTTACGAGCACAGACGTTCTGTACAATATTAAAGGTCAACATCATTACCACAATTTAGAATGAAGATCTTGTTTAATTATGGCCCTACCAGCATTAACTTCAGCTTTCATTTCTTTTATATCTTCATTAATCTCGTTTTGCAGTTTGCCAATGCGAATATTTATCTTTTCTTCAGTCTGTTGTGTTTCATGCGCTTCCATGGTTATCTTCTGTATTTCTTCTATTTTGTTGATTTTCTCTGACATCTGGCTGAATTTCATCTCTACAGCTCTTTCACTCATTTCCTGGAGCCAGGGAAAATAATTTTAATGATTTAGCATGTGTATTAAATGAGTGGCCTTCCCCAGATATGCACCTTTTATTATGTGGAATTTAAAGGTGCAGGTGCAACGAATTAAAATTTATTTCAGTAAGCTTTTTAAAATGACTTGATACAAGGGTAAAACAGTGATGTACTCAGAGTGATCAGATGTATGTCAAGACCCTCAGTCTGTGGTGAATGTTACACTAGACATCAGTGAAAAGAGAGAGAGTTCTGCAAATGTTAGTGAGGTCTAAGAGTCTCACTCAAATAACATCCCTGTAACTCATAATGCTTTTGAACACTTCCTGAGAAGTATTACTAGGACATTGGGATGAAACTTACTGTGTTCTCCTTAAAAGTCAATGAGAGTTGGTCAAGTTTTTGCACAAGCTCTTTTTCAATCCTCTCGTGTTCCTGTTCCAACCAGCTGCGTGCAGACAAAATCTGGCTGCTGAGCTCTTCAATAGCATTTTTTAATCTGAGAACATAATGCAATTTAGGAAATGGTAAGAGCACAAGTTTCGGTCATTCTGCAGTGATTTTTTTTATGATAAGAAAAGATTTAATGACTGCTACTAAACTGGATAAGGCAACACTGTTTTGAAAATTAAAGAAGGAAACCACAACAAAATAGCAGCTATTTATATGAAACATCACAACATTTTGAGGTTCGTTAGACGCAGATTCTTTGTAGCACTGAAAATGGAATGCAGTCATCTTCATAAATCTCAAATCTGAGCAAAGATCTGACGACCACTTATATAACTGGCAGTGTCAGTTCATACAGCCGCACTTGCACTGCCTCATCTGCCTCACATTTACGCCATCCGTTCGGGCACACTTGTTTTCCACTGAACATTTGCAATCTGGATCTGCTCTCCCATCTGGTTTGCAAATAGCCATAGTGCTGTAGCTGATGGGATGTCAAGAGGGTGGCAATCGGCAGGCAGGAGGAAAGGCTGAATGAGGCACAAGGACAGGAGCTAGTATCTGAGTTGAACATAGCTCTAGATAGAGCCTGGCAGTAACACAGTGACTTTACTAATTTGAGTATTTGAGTTCTCTTTGGAGTCACTTAAAAGCAAGAGCACTCGGTGAGCTCAGCGCTGAGCTTCCTTGTGGTCAGAGCACAGCTTTGGACTGCGGCGTTCAGTGCTTCGCATGCTGTCAGAAAAGGTACTGGGACACTTTTGCAAAAATTTAGAGCTGGTTTTTAATACAATCCTACTTGAATTCTTAGCTAGGGACCCAACGGGGTTTTCAGAAGTGTCCAGCCACCTGAAGGGTGTAATTTCCACTGGAAAGGAGGGGGCATCGGTCAGATCAGCGTGCTTTTGTAAAACAGCTGAGCACACGCACGTGTGCAGACAGGTAAATGCGGCTGCAGAGCTGCTCCTTAGCGGAAGGCCGCACAGCCCAGACTCGGAAAAGCGGGGCCCTCGCTTCCATCCCCCCGGCCCTGCCGCCCTCCTCCCCCGCCCCCCGCGGCCGCCCCGCGCCTCGGCTCCGCTCCGCTCGCTCACTTGGTGTCCAGCAGGTGGAGCTGCTGCGCGCTCTCCTTGTAGGCCAGCTTCAGCTTGGCTTCCTGCTGCGCCACCGCCTGCTCCACGCGGCTCAGCAGGTGCGATACCTGGAACGCAGCGCGCCGTCAGCCGCCGCCCCACCCAGCGCGACTCCCAGGGGCAGGGGAGACTCGAAAGGCCCGCTTTGCTGGCACTTCCGACGTGATTCAGCTTGCAGGGTTTGTGATGAAAAGTGTATTGTCTCACAAGGTAGAAATAGGAGTGCTGGGAGGACTGCTAACAAAGTCCCACAAAAGCAGCCGTGGCAGATTTACAAAGCATGCTGTTCAGTTCTACAAGATTCATGACAATACGTTGCTAGCACACTGGTGTGCCTGTATACTATACTGGGCCTTCCCACAGCATGCAAAAGGCAGCAATTTAAGGACTTTTCCAGTCAGACCAATGCATTAGCATAGCTGTGTAGCAGTACTTAATCTAAGGACTATGTGCATATATAAAGCATAGAATCACTAAGGTTGGACAAGACCTCCAATATCACCCAACCCAGTCATCCACCCAGCACCAATATTTCCCCACTAAATCACGACCCTTTTTACCTCATTGCCCCCCCAGGACCCTCCTCCATCTTTGAATCTGTGACCTCGTAGGCAGGAAAATAATTCACAGGAATGATATCTGTTTGAGTTAGACCATGGCTCGACTGTACCTGTATTTCTGTCTCTTTGATTTTCGATTCTAAGATCAACTTAGAGGTGTGCTGGTCTTTAGTTAGGCTCTGAAGTCTTTCGTATGTGATTTTGTGCTCTGCAGACAGTCTGGCTAGCCCAGCATCACACCTGTTTGAATAAATAAATACCAAAACAACAGTTGAATAGCCCACACTTTTAAAATCCCCTGTTTTACATTAGGCATTTCTATGAAAGTACTGGCTGTCCAGCAAAACACTGTCTTATGGGGTTGTAAAAATGCTGATGTATCTCGCCCTATCCAGCAAGCTGCTCCCAGATGGGAATAGATCCCAAACTCTTCATCACACTCCTGCTGTACTATGGTTCTTTTGGTACTGACGTGGAAATTGTGTCATTGTCAGAGTTGGGGAAATTGCACTGGAACTTCAAAGATGCAGGATTTCAATACCTCATTACTTCTCTTATTGTCCATCTGCTGTGGTGTGCATGGTTTGCCCTACATAGAGGCCTAAATAATTGTGGAGATCATTTTTTCATTATTTTAGCTGTGTTCCGCTAAGCCTTACCTTGTTATTTTTGTTTGCCAAATAAAAAAAGATGTGATAAGTACACAATATAGAGAGTAAACAATGTGAGGAAAAGTTATGGTTTAACTAGCACAGCCTGTATTTAGGTAAGGCTGCCATTTAAAGCAATTTTGTCTCACTAAAGACTACAAAATGCAGTTCTGGTACATAATAATTACTGTTTCCTTTCTTCACGTTGGAACATTTCTCAGTGCTGTAACATTTTCACAACAAATGTGCTATGGAATATGTCCATTTCTTACTGCATTTCAGAAATACTTTTGTCAGGGGGATTTCATCTACAGTAATACAATAAGGACATAAACTGCGATGTAAAATAGAAGTACTATAATTTCAGGAGTGAGACTCCCGCAGAGTATGAGTCATGTATATTTATAACCACCAAAGTTACTAAAATTGATCTATGAAACTGGTGGAGAACAGATAGTGGTTACAATATAAGGGAGGGGGAGAGGGGGAAGGCAGTAAATGGGACAAACTACGGCTGGTTAAATCATTACACAAAGCCATGGCATGTTTTCACTGAAGTTACATTTCAGTTGGAAAGCTTTCACTTCAAAATGTGTTTTCAACACCTCAGTTGTAGTTGTGTTACTCTAATTATGGTGGTACAACTTCAATATCAAACTAACAAATGAAGTAAAATATCACAAATTATAAAACCTGTGAAAAGTAATTTATAGTTTGGCAGTTCAGCATAGTAAGACCAATTAGTAGTATCTGTAAGAAGAGTAGCTTAGGTTTATATGGTAAATTCCAGGTCTTACAATCTGGCAGCTTCTTTAGAAAGGCAAGAAAAGCCAAATGTCTCCACTTTGTTGCTAACTGAAAAAAAAAGAGGGATGAAATAATCTATTTATTCCCCAGAAGCCTGCAATCTCTGGGCAGGGACAGCAGAGCTATAGACTCTGCATAGCTGGCCCTGGCAGGTCAGACCCCCACCCTCCCTGTGAGCTTTGTACAACTGCAGCTGGCAGAGTGCAGCAGGTTTTTTACTCACAAAGATCTTAAACGTGGTGCATCCCAGATGCATCAGGCTCATTTTCTCATGTAGGAAAATCTGCCTACATGTTATAAGTCCGGGGTGTCTGAAATGAATCACATCTACAGTGTATGTAAAAATATGTAAAAAACATATGCAGAGGAGGCCCAGTGTGAACATGCATAACTGCCTTCTCTCTGGTATCTGGTATCAGGCAGCCTCTGGAGACACCAACTTCTGTACTGACCGGACTGCTGTATTCATACTTTGCAGACAAATGGTCTTAGTAGACAGACATTATGTAAAGATGTGATAAGGCAGTGCTCTCAGGTTTAATGATCTTTTATCACTAGAAATAGGCATGGCAAAGCTGTTTAATATGAAACTTGCAATGCCAAGGACAGAAGGCAAGAGTAATGGATTTATCGGCATATACATAATTTTCTGCTCAGTGTGTCACTACTTTTAATTAATAGAGGCAATTTCTGTCTTAATAGTAACTCTGATTCTTAGGAAAACAGACAGCATCGTTCACAATGAACCCTGTAAGGATGCTGTACAAAATCATCAGTAAAAGATACTTAAAAAGAAGTGGTCCAGAGACATGAGCTGCAGTGTGGGCCTCATCTTCTCCTGCTAGAGATACAAGTTGGTTCTCTGATGCAGGTGAGCTCAGCTGTGGGGTCTGTCCCAGCCACACTCCTCCAGAGCCGTGGGCAGTGGAGTGCTGGAGCTGTGCCTAACTGCACACACAAGTAGGAATCCCTGTTCTCATAGCTTAAAGCTGTAACTCTCAAGAATAGAGAAGTGCTCACTGATATTGACATGTAACAGAACAGCTGGTGTTAGGAAATAAATAGTACTCTTTCATACTGAAGTTGAATAGAATTTTAGTATACATGTAATCACTGGAATTGAAACTTAGCCAGAATCCTGAGACTGACACTAAAATTCTTACAGGATCCGAAGGCTCAGATGTAGGTGATTTACCATCACTCAGCTTATACAGACTTAGTCATGGCAACTGTCCACGTGTGTACTTCTATGCTTGTATACTTGCAGCTGTTGGAGTGGGTTATCAGAGACTACTGGAGCGCTGCAGTACCTCTCCAATGAAGAAAGGGGAGCTGGGCCTGTTCTGGAGAAGAGAAGGCTCTGGGGAGACCTCACTGCAGCCTTCCAGTACTTAAAGGAAACTTATAAGGAGAGGGACTGACAGTAAGCACAGTCTGATAGTGATAAGACAAGGAGGGATCATTTTAAACAAAAAGAGGGGAGTTTGAGATTAGATATTAGGAATAAAGTTTTCACTCACAGACTGGTGATGCACTGCATGCTACAGGCTGCCCAGAGGAGTGTGGGTGCCCCGTCCCTGGAGGGCCCAAGGCCAGCTCAGATGGGATCCTGGGCAGCTAAGCTGGTGGGTGGCAGCCAGCCAGCCCACAGCAGGGGTTTGGAACTGGATGGGCTTTAAGGTCCGTTGTAAACCAAACTGTTCTATGATGCTAGCCTAGAGCAAGTGTGACTTACTTTGAGTTAAATTAGCCTACTTTCACTATAGCCTGAGTTGAACTCAGCACCTTGGCTATGGTCAAGAAGAGGAGTTAGCTGATGTGCAGTAAGTTGGAAACCCACAGTAACTGGATCACATATCTAAGGTTTCACTCTTCCAATTAATCTGAAAGCTAGCAAGAGTAAATGCTGAAGTAAAATTACATTAACTGAGCTTGGCTTATTTTACATAACAGATTTTGGGTAGAATAATCAGAAATTATCACAGGGAAATTTTATATCGCATATCTGTATAGCACAACAAACTCTAATCTTGATTATGATTTCCAGAAATACCATAGTCATTAATCATAGGAATACTAATGAATGAAGTAGAGTACATTTGTAAATGAAGGCAAATAACCTTCTTTCACAGACTACCACTTTCAATTGATGTATGGTAAAGACTTATTTTCTTCTCCACATAAGGAAAATACAGAGCATAATACTGAATAGGAGCTAACAGTTAGAGACAATAAACTAATCATCTTATGGTAATAAATACAAATGAATCCACATTCATTGCCCAGTCTGATATAAGGGAAATTGATGTAGTCTCTTAAAACAGTCAGATAAATTGTAACCCAGGCAGAATGACAGGGAGTTGCCCAAAGTAAATAAAGGAAGAAGTCTTGGCAAAGACTGTGCTAGTTGACCGCTGCTCTCAATACCAAGTGCTCAGCCATGCAGGGCCATGGTGAAGCTCATGCTGGCACATATTTATTTATGTGAATTCTTTACTGAAACCAAGGGCATTATATTTTGCTTCATAAGCTAATCAGTAAGTGCATTGCTCCATATAAAGGTCTGTCTTAGGTCACTCTATATTAAAAAAAAAAAAAAAAAAAGGGGGGTGGGGGGAAAAAAGAGGATGTGTCATGCCCATCCTCATGTGTCACGAGGATGTTCAGTGAGCTGGAGCACTCCTCCTATGAAGAAAGGCTGAGACAGGAAGTTTTCCAGCCTGGAGAAGAGAAAGCTCCAGGCAGATCTCATAGCAGCCTTCCAGTACTTAAAGAAGCTTATGGGAGAGCTGGGGAGTATGGTGGTAGGATAAGGGATAATAGCTTTAAACTTAGAATAGAATAGATGTAAATGAAAAATGCAGAAGAAATTCTTCCCAATGAGGGTGGTGAGATGCTGGCACTGCTGCCTGGAGAAGCTGTGGGTGCCCCATTCCTGGAGGTGCTCAAGGCCAGGCTGGATGGGCCCTGGGCAGCTGTACTGGTGGCGTCCCTGCCCATGTCAGGGGTTGGAGCTAGGTGATATTTAAGGTCCATTCCAATCCAAACCATTCTATGATGATACTGTGAAATTTCCCATTGAGTTACGTATGTATTTATATCAATTCTCATTTGACAAAAAATACTTATCTAGTTCATTCCTGTTTAGTAAAGGATAACTTCAGTGAAGCATAACTTAAAAAAAAAAAAAAGGCACATAATGATTGTGTTAAGCTGCTCCTGAGTATTCTTTATTAAATGGCTCAGAAGTTACTGTGGGAGCTTAAAAACAATTGAACAATTCGAAGGAAAACTTAAATTCAAGGAAAATCCCTCCCTGATTATTTGTGTAGGCTGCTATCACTAAATCAGTTGAAGTACAGGAAAAAAAGAGAAGTCATCTGTACATTATAGATAATAGGTCAAACTCAGGACAAGTATAATTCCAGTGGAGTTGTTAGCCAAGATATTCTAGGAGAGACTAGGTCCTTTTTCTATAGCTGTGCTAAACCATCTTTTATGTTACACTTTACAGACACTGAGGCAAATGTACTTTGTGCCATCACCAACACATTTACAATTCAGCCTGAAGTCTGTGTAATTGCACAGCTGCAAGCTGGAGTTTGAAGCAGCCCTCAAACCTCTATTATTTTATAGCTGTCTGTTCTTTACACGTCAGGTGGCCTATGTAGGTTTTAATATGGTTAACCAGTAATTTCACACACATATTTCTACTTCTAAAATGTCTGCCAAAATGTGCAACTATTATGTTCTTTACAAGCGCAGATTGTTCCATGCCTCCTTTACAGTAATTTTGCTAATTAGTCTCAAAGACAAACTACAGAGACTGTCTAACCACAGTACTTTTAAAAATTGAACAAAATCCAAATTTATATGGAATTTGAGGTCACTTGTTAAAAATTAATCTCAAGAATTATGGGACATATTGTTAAGTTTAATATGATGAGAGATGCAAAGGATTACTGTTAATTTTCTTGAAAACACCGAGCAAAATTATCCTGGGAATTTTGCCAAAGTAGAATTCAGCCCATTAGCATTGACATTCGTAATTCAAGATTAAAGCAACATTAGTTAGTCCCAAAAATATACGTTCGTAATGACATTTACCTTGCCACTCTTCCACGAAGATCCCCTAAACCAGAAAGCTGCCGCATTTCCAGGCTCTTTAGGGTAGAATTTGTTCCATAGCTGAGATTGTCTCTGACACGTATCTGTTCTTGCAGCATCTACAAAGTATTCACATGCAAATACAAATTCAGTATGCTACATTTAATGTACCTTTTAAATGTCACTCGTAATTTTTCAGTGTTTCAGTAAGATCAGGTATCATTTTATTGTGACTTTAATAGAGGCTCGTACGTACTGATACAGGTACCTCCATGTTACCTAACATTTCTTATTCTGAAAATCCACACCATAACCTATTAAATACAACTTTTCAGTGGAATGAAGATATTAACATTTACCCATCAGTTTTTCCCACCACACCTATGTTGCTCATCAAGCAGAGGCCGTGATTAGTCAGAAAAATGAGCAGTTGGGTTGGGCTGCTTGGTGTTGTCAGTGAGTCAAAGTGAAAGAAAGTTTAATACAGACCTAAGGCATTTCCTAGTGTTTATACAGCACAGTCTTTGGACTGGAGTTGAGCTGGGTATTAGTACCACGTTAATTCGTTTTGCCAGGGTTTTCCAGTGTTGCTTTTCAAAGCAAGCTCATTAGTACCACAAAGATTTCTGTGTTTACATGCGAATATCCTGTATTATTTTCATAGCCACTGGAGGAATTGCATAATTTGCAAACAGTTTTTACAGTTATAAAAACAATTTATAAGCTTACGGGATCTTTAGACCTTGCCTGAACTTTCTCATCCTGTGGTAAACTGTTATTAAATCAGAAGGACTAAGTAGCTGAAACAGTATTAGTCCAGTGAAAAATTCCTCGCATACCTCAATGTCCCGGTTGAGCTGCCTCACGATGGCGGTTATGTTCCGGATGTGTTCTTCTAGGAGCTGCCTTGCTAACCGATCGCCCCCCCCTTTGTTCTGCATTCTGTGCAGAGTGGAAACAATGTCCTCCTTGATGCGAAAAGCGTGTTCCACAAGCGCTGCCGTGGTTTTCTCATGGCTGAGGATTCTGTCCTCCAGCTGATCCACCAGGCTCGCAGATGCCAGCGGGACCGCTGTCAGCGCCTGACTGTGCAGCGGGATGTTTCGAACCCGTCTGGTGGAGAAGAATGTTCAGATATGATTTGGGTCTGACACAAATCTCCATAGCATCTTTCTGCTGAGACAGTACGAGATTATCTTAGTGGCAGCACTGGGGAGAAACACCAAAGCACTTACAAAGGCCGGCTGCTACAGATGAATGGATGTTGTTTGCTGCTGCCTCTGTCCGTACAAAGGCAGGTCAGGCTCTTTTTCCTACAGTTTAAAGAAGCTTTACAGAGACATAGGATCTTAAGAAGAGGACATTAGCATTATAAAGAGTTACAGTTCTGAACTATAATTTGATTAAGAACCCAAACCCAAGACCCTCTTACTGAGTTTCAGAAGCAATGCTTTTTGTCTCTACAGTTTTCATCTTTATGCAGGCTTAATCAAAGCAGAAACTGTGGAAGGGAGATACAGCAAACCAGAACACGATTAAAAAGAAGGAGCTTGCATCCATGCCTTTTTGCAGTCAATACATCTGCCCTGTAATAGCATACAGAAGCTTGTCCTCACATGAAGGGGACAGGAGGATACACAGGTGAAGAAACTGAGGAGAGACCAAAACTATGACAAGCTTTGCAGCCACGGAAGTCACATTCATTTTTATCCTTTAAAGAAAGCTGACATTTAGGTCTATGTTTTTCAGAAAAGCTCTGCACTACATAGCTTCCATGAAATCAATGGGAGCTCATGGATACTTGAAGTGGAAAAAAAAAAAAATAGACTGTGGATGCATGCAATCTTTCCCTGTTCTGTAAAGAGAACACTTTCAGAAGCCTAAGGTAGAAGATAAAAGTTCAACACCACTTTGAAAGAGATTTTTGTTCTCATAACTCTGCTATTCACTGTGTATAGTCCACATTGATTCTGCTAGTGAACCAGACTGACAATTTACTTTCACCCTAATAACACTGATAGAGATATAAGAGGACAGTCAGCTCTGGCTGTGAGCTTTCACATTTTCTCTATAGTTGGAAGACTTTGGTTCAAGCACAGTATTTTTGGACTTCTGTTCAGTTAGAGTTTAAAGAATTTCAGTCAGGAAAGTTTAAGTAAAAGCTGAATAAGGAATTGTGATCTGGGTATGATTTGAAGGAGTCTACAGTATTTCAGCTTGTTTGCATATGAAATTCCAAAGATCCAAGCTACAGCATTACCATAAACAAACAATTAAGAGAGGAAGAGAGGCACATAATACTCCACAATACGAAGGTTTTATTTTTCACATTCCAGTTGTACCTTTCAGAATGGGCGAGAGTTGGGAAGATTGGGCTTCGTTGGGCCATTTTCTGGTCAATAATTTATGTCTGTTGAAAAAGTACACATTGAATTATTTAATGGTTTATATTTGGCACTGAGATGATTTAATGCTCCTGCTGAAGTGAACCTCCAAGTAAAGTTTAAGATTACACTGACAGGTCTGATCTTGGAGTTTAAATTGCTTATAGAATAAATGCATATAAAAATAGATATAAAGAAACAGAATAATGGAAAGTAAAACCTACTGAAAAGCTTCTATAGTGAAAGTGATACTCTTGCAAAAGGAATGGTTGACAGCTTTAAAACTGAAATCTGCTCAACCCACAGAACTGGTTTGGCAGGACAGAGACAAACTTCTTGTCCTAGATCTGTCTGCTGGTCCCAAACACCATCGATCAACAAATACAGAAGTGAGAAATGAGGGATAATAGTAAAGCTTAGGAATGCATTGGCTAGACAATGACATGAAAATTCTTCATGACAGCAAGTTACTGTGGGTAAGGTGTTTTTCAGGAAACCTCAGTAAAATGTTAGAGATCAGTGTAGACTGGGAAAACTGGACCTTTTATTCATTTATTTTTTCAAATCTAAATGTCCACACTTTATATAGTAAATTCTTACATAGTCAGACTATAAATTCTGTTTAAATTTTTTAGATGTAGCCAGCCAGATTGTGGCAGACTTTGCAGCAGAGCAGCTCTGTTAATAGCTTCAAAAAGATATTCCAGGTATCTCACTGTGAGACCAGACTGGAGCTTTGCTCCATTGTCAGAAATTTAAACAAAAAGCTTATAGACAAAATCAAATCCAACTATTCCACCCCATACAAAGCAAATACATATTTTAAACTGTGAAGATGGCATGATTGAGCATGGCTGTCCTATTGGAGGTCTGAGCCTAAATGCTTATTGAAAACTAAAGGCTTGCGTGCAGAAAGAATTTTGCAGTTGCTAATGCAATATGTTGCACAAACAGAGAGGACAGAATGGGTTTATTGAAACAAAATCATACAATTTTAATTGTAGAAAAGTAATAGAACTATTCTCCAAGATCTTAAAATGCCAAGCATGTTTGTGCTTCAGGAACTTATAAAAGCACTGCCTAAAAAGAGAGCAAACATTGCCACAGTATGCATGTTCTATTTATAGCACAGTGCTTCAGAAACTACAAATTAGAAGAAGAAAAAAAAACACAGTTTGAATAGAGGCTGAGTTGCTGAGCAGCAGTAACACAACTGTAATTCAGAAGGTCTGATTTCAGTTCCTTGCTCGCTCTGTGATCCTGATGCCTTTGAATCAGTTATTTCCATGCCCAGTGACTCAGTTTCCCTTTATGGAAAACAGATTATAGCACCTACCTCTTCATTTAGGTTCTTGCATGCCTGTAAGTAGAAAGCCCTGTACAAGAGCTGGGTATCATGGTGCTGGCGTCTGCATTCAGGATTGCACTGCCCTGCCCCAGGCCTGCAGTCTGTTCCTGCACACGGTGCTCCCCAGGTGTTCAAGCAGTGCCTCTGCCCATGGGGAGCGCCTGGCTGTCCCACGAGGTCACACAGCAGCCTGAGGAGCCCAAGCTGCTAGCTCTGAGCTCTGGGCTCCTCGTGCTCTGGGCCGCAGCACAACTCAGTGATCTTGATGCAGGATTTGAACACAAAACTATGAACGTGGCAATATCCCACTGATTTAGGTAGAGCTATGCATATCACAGCAGCAAGGCACCAGATACTACCTAAAAAAACAAAGACCAGATGTTGGGGACTGTACGTCCAGTGATGTCTTAGTGAAACACTCCTTATAAAAAAACAGCAAAACAGGAAACCCACAACTGAAGCACTTTCATCTTAGGGCCTTTGGTACATATTTCATACCAAATGACAACCATTTTTGGAGCACTGGAAGCATAGCATTGCATGAAGATGTCACTTTTTCTGCCAGACTGCCACTAGACAGCCAGCAGAACGTGGGTGTCTGCGGAAACAGTGTGCACAGGTGGGCTTCCCAATCTTTTGTTAATTTGAGCACATCTCTCAGTACATGTGGGAATCTCAGAGCCAATTGGCAGCTTTCTTGATCTGACCCAACATCCTGAGGGGATGTACCAAGGTCTTGTTCAGCAGTTGTGCAAAACTTTATTGCAGTTTGGAGGTATTGCAGTTAGCAGTTCCACAAAGCTGTCAGGACCGATGCCATATTTCTTCTCATTTAGCCTAATAAACAGCAAATCAAAGAAAAAATAAATGTTCCAAAGTCTAGAACTGGGGGAGTGTGATTTCACACGGATCCCAATTAAATGGTGCTAAACTGGGATCAGCTTAGATACCGGCTGAAATACAGGCTTCAAGTGCATGGTTGTCACTGTAAACGGAGCTGCCTCCTGCTTCATACTGCTGTGGCCATTTAAATCGCAATACGTGAATCCGGTATTTAAGGATTAAATTGCCAGCTATTCCAAATGCACTTGTCACGTCGACACGAGAAAGGGCGATTTTCCCTGTGCCGCCGGTAGGGAAGCGAAGCGCAGGGGCAGCGCGGCTCGGCACTTCGGCACCGGGCACACGGGAAACGCAGCCGAGGGGGTGCGCGCCCGGCGAGGCTCCGAGCCCCGTTTGCGCTCAAAGGAGAAGCGGGTGCAAGGGCGGCGGGGGGCGGCTCCTTTGGGGGTGGCCTCGCAGCGCGGAGCTCCGGCCGGGCCGTGCGGGGCGGAGCAGGGGAGGGGGCCGGGACCGGCCCGCCCCGCCCCGGTCCGCCCTCGGCTGGGCGCTGGGTGCCGGGCGGCGGCCCGAGGGGGCGGGCGGCCCCGCCGTCGGGTTACGGGTGGCGCGGGGGCGGGCGGCTACGCCGAGGGGGCTCGGGCCCGGCGGGGCGGCACTCACCACTGCGGCGAGCGGGGGCTGCGCACCTCTCCTCCGCGCCCCGCGGGTCCCGCTCCTCGCCGCGCTCCGACCGCGACGCTCCGCGCTTGCCCCCAGCGCCTGTCCTACCCTGTCTGCCTGTCCGTCCGTCCGTCCGGTACGGGGAGCGGCGCGGGCCCGACGCAGGCCGGGCTGCGGGAGCTGCCGCCGTTGCCAGGACGCCGTCACCATGGGAACGGAGCGGCGGGGGGCGCGCCGCAGCCGTATTTATAGGCAGCGCCCGCCCCAGCCTCTCCCGCCCCGCCGCCGCGGTTCTCCCGCCCCTCCGGGGGCGCGCACGGCAGCGGGGCTCACCCTGCCCGCGGCAGCACTCGGAGCGGGGTGTTCCTCCGGAGGAGCGACAGACCCCGGTGGAGTATAACGCTGCGATGTGTTTCCAAACGCGTCCTGGCATGTAGCTGCAGTGAAACTTTGTGTCCCACAACAGGTGCTCTCTGCTGTACGAACTAAGAGGTGCTGCTGGAAAGGCAGAGCACATGCAAGGTGCGTCCACACCTCAGCTCTGCCTGCTGCTGTGGTGGGCTTCAGCACAGCCACCTTTGGGTAAGCACGGGCTGTTTGGTGCGGGCTGAGCAATCCCTGTGCAGCAGCACAGCATCTGTGTTAGAAGGATGCTGCAAACGGGAGAAGCACTGCAGAGTGTGCGTGCACCCATATAAAGAGCAAGGCAGGGGCTAACCTGCAGTTCTTAAAGTAAAGGGGTCAATATGTATTAGGGTTAGAGGCTAGAGACAAAAAAACACCGTGGGTGCTTTTGGAACAGCCTGTGACTAATGTGGTGCCACCCCACCTCTGGAGGGCTCTTATCCAGCTTCTGTTCCATGTAGCTGCACCCTTGGGGCCAGGGCCTGCTCCTGCTAAAAGCCACCAGGGTTAGCGGCTGCACAGCCTGCTGGCAGCACACGGGGAGATGTTCCCTTTACACCCAATCAGAACCCCACCTGGTTCCATTTGTGTTGCTGCTCACCCACCGTGCAGCAATGTGCAAGAGCTCAGCTTTGCCCCGCAGGGGCTGTTGTCAGTTCCCAACACCGACCTTCTGCTGCCCTCATTGGATACACAGGTGCTATCTCTAGCCCTGCAAATGCCTTGCTAACTGCACACAGCTGTGTGGTTGTCATGCACCTGGTCCAGGATTTTTCTTATTAAAGAACTGCCTGTATATATTGTGTTCTCTTGTCTATGTATGTGACTGTAAGAGCTGAGCAAAACATCACCCACAATAGATCAGCTTAGGCTATTTTGTTTTAAAGACAGAGTTTGTGTCCTTCCTGCAGCATGTTGTTAGCATTGAGTCGTGTGCCTGTGCTCAGTGCCTCTCTGTGCAGGCTTTGCCCTGGCAGCAGAACACAGCAGTGCGGGCCCTGCAGCCAGGCTGCTGGGAACGGGGCACCGGTGAGAGCATCCATCTGACCTGTACAGAAGCTGCTGTCAGTATAGTCACATGGCTTCCCTGATGCTTCTAACTAAAGCAGTGCTAAGCACTTGTAGTTGATGTAATTATATCTTCAGTGTAATTGATAATGAACAAATAGATTTATTTTCTTGAAGGTTCCTATTGGCCCTGAGAATAACACCCATTCATACCGCCTGGTTTGCAGATGGAGAAGTATTCACCTCCATGAATTTGGAGTCCCTCTTGAGTCTGAGGCTTCTCTTAATGAGCCCTAGAGCAAAAGAGCTATGAGATTCTCCTCAGAGAAACAGAGGTGAAGGAGGCTGCTGGCCTCGTTCCTGTGTTCCTCTGATGATATGTCAGAAGGCACCTTGAATGTGGTACCAAGCACATCGAGCAGTGTGCTTCCTTAGTGTGAGGCCAGCAGAGCAGGGGGATGCAATGTTAGAGAAAGGAGAGTTTCACTGCTGCTGTCCTGCACGGAAGGCCTGTCCTAGTCACTGATGTGATGCTGCATTTAATGTCAGACCTTCTGGTTTTGTTTCGTATTTGCCATTTATTTCTCCCTGTACTTCACAAGTGTTGAATCCTTATTTCATTTTCTGTAAGTAGCACTCTACACCGCAGAGCGTAACTGAGGGCAGAATGAAGCCAGCTGCATTTTAGCAGAAAATGTGAAGACTGATGAAGTCTGTGTTCGTTCTTTGGAAAGCAGATCCAGCAGAAGTATCTGCGATGAATTTGTTAAATGTCCTCAGTCTAATGCCATTTGTTTTCCTATCCTTCATCTTTCTAAGAAAAAACAGCTTTGTGGTTTTCTAACTGTGTGGATGATTTCTTGGTAATGTCATTAAGCCATTTTTAGTGGCCTACAGGCTTTAATTAGATGATTAATGAAATTATTCTGATCAATGGAACACAAATGCAGCATTTGGAAAACTTACTCTAAATATATTTGAAAAGCAGTAACATCTTTATTTTTTTCCTCACTGACTTCTGTGTTTGTCAATTAAAGGTCAGGGTAGTGTCTGTGCATTACAGTTTCAGATCTTTTCCAGATTGGTCGCTCACAGTAGAGCTCTTTCTTTCTGAAGACACAGAACACTTTTTTAGAAGGAAGAGCAAGGGCAGCTGCATTCCACTGTGCTCCACAGGTGGTACCTTTGCCAACAGTTCGGTCTGTAGCCTCTAAGCATGAGCCCAGCTCCCACCCAGAGCTGCTGGCTGTGTGCAGGCAGCAGTGGGCAGAGGTGGGTGGGTTCTCCTCATGCAGACTCCTCCTTAGCTCTGCTGGAGCCCCTTCAGATGCGAGTGGCTGGAAAGCTGCCTGATGGGCAGGGACCTTGGTGTACTGATGGACAGTCGGCTGAATATGAGGCAGCAGTGTGCCCAGGTGGCTAAGAGGGCCATTGGCATCCTGGCTTGTATCAGGGATGCTGTGGTGAGCAGGACTAGGGAAGTCACCCTGCCCCTGTACTCCGCGCTGGTGAGGCCTCACCTCGAGTACCGTGTTCAGTTTTGGGCGCCTCAGTGCACAGAGGACATTGAGGTGCTGGAGCAGGTCCAAAGAAGGGCAGCAAGGCTTGTGAAGGGCTTGGAGAATGTGTCCTATGAGGAGAGACTGAAGGAACTGGGGCTGTTTAGTCTGGGAAGAGGAGGCTGAGGAGTGACCGTATTGCTCTCTTCCAATATCTGAAAGGTGATTGCAGAGAGAGCAGGGTTGGTCTCTTCTCACTGGTGACAGGTGACAGGATGAGGGGAAATGGCTTCAAGGTAAGTGCCAAGGTAAGTTTAGATTGGATATCAGGAAAAGCTTCTTTACAAAAAAGGTTGTTAAGCACTGGAATAGGCTCCCCAGGGAGGTGGTTGAGTCACCATCCCTGGATGTGTTTAAAAACCATTTGGATGTGGTGCTCAGGGACATGATTTAGCAGTGGTTGTTAGGGCAGTATGGTTAGGTTGTGGTTGGACTCAATCTTTAAGGTCTTTTACAACCTGAGCAACTCTATCATTCCCCAGCTGAGTGCAGTGCAGGTTGGCCGAGCAGTTCAGGCATGCTGGCCGCTCTGCACACTGCGGACAGCGTAAGGGAAATGCCTCCCCTGCTGCTGAGCTGGGTGGTGAAAAAGTGTTATTCACTCCACACAGCCAGCCTGGGAATTCCATGTTTATCATTAAAACAAGCAGAAGTAAACCGCTACATTTAAAAGCACGAAAAGAGTTTATTGTGAAATAGAGTGTACTTGGTGCGCTAAGGGCAAAG